GTGTGCTTTCCCTTCTGTCTCCTGTGGTTTTGTGGAAACAGGCAAAGAAGGTGTAGGTACGTGCTCGCCAGAGGGTGTGAAGGTCCATTTGTAGGTGATTGAGTTAGGGTGTGTGTGTGTGTGTGTGTGTGTGTGAGAGAGAGAGAGTGTGCGTCACTACAAAGGAGAACTGAGAGAGAGAGAGAGAGAGAGAGAGAGAGAGAGAGAGAGGAAGGTGAAAGAGAACAAGAGAATGAGAGAGAGGGAATGAGGAGAGAGAGAGAGAGGAATGTTTTTCATTACGTAATCTAATCTAAGTGGCTATTTTTCTTGTATAAAACCTCCGTTGCCCTCCATGAGACCGCTGTCCTCATCTGTCTAAAAGCACTGAGTGAGTCATGCTGTGGGTCCAAATTGCACACACACACACACACACACACACACACACACACACACACACACACCAAGTCATAGTGAGTCAGCCAAGATCTGCTATAGACGCTCGCCTCAGTGATGAATAATGAAATAGGGAAAGGCATATAAACTGCTCAAATGACATGTGAACTCAGTGGACAGTGGACATATGGATGATCCTGATGGACACACACTCACACAGAAACAAACACAGTGACATCTTCATAGGGCATATGAGCAGCTGGACTATGAGCAGGTGAACAGGTGGATTGTACTTTGACACCTTCCCTTTGTCTGCATGCAGAATATTCAACAGAGGGTCTGTTGCTGAAGATAATCTCTCAGTGAAGCAAAAGTTCAACATTTTGGGAAATGGCCTTATTCACTTTTGGTGGTAGAGGTAGATGATAGGATTGATATGATTCTCATTTTTTCCCGTTCATTAAGACTTCATGTGGCAGCTTCCACCAGAACATGACTAAGCAAAACAGGCATAACGTGTAACACAACACCGTCTGTGTTTAGTGTGACATATATGTATTGGGCAGCTCTTTCTAAATAATAACAATGGCATTGCATGGCAACAACAATCCTTTACTGACTTTGTTTTATAGCAGTTGATCTTGTCCTAACACTAAACACTTTCCTGAGAACGCTGTGGGTCAAGACCATGGATGTGTAAAGAGAACTGGATACAGCATTGGTGACGGGGCCCTGTTCATTCCTAAGTTGCTTAGAGGCACATTAAATCAAAAAAGTCCAACTGCAGAATAAAACATTACCCGGATGATCAGCACTGCTGCTACTATGTGGCCCACAGAGCAAGCGCATCAGAGACTTCCTCCAACTGAACCACCTTCCTCTGGTGTAGCCCTCTGCTAACTTGAATGGGGATAAAATGATTCAATAGTGTGGCTCTTCTGGACCTTCCAAACATTATCAGACCAATGGATAGAATTGTGACAGTGAAATAAGTCATTGTGCAGGGGTCGTGATGCTAAACAAATCATCCACTGATCTACAGACATCTCTCTCACCATGTAAGTATATGGGAAAAAGTCTTTTGGGGGCCACAGGATCACATGACAGAGTTAAGACCACCACTTAGGCACGCGAAAATTCACTCTTTCTGGCAGCCTGGTCAAGCCTGCATTATCAGAGACAACCGCCAAATTACACACACAGGGACTCACATGCACGATGATGAGTCCTTTAGCCTGAGTTTGAAATGTATCTCAAAGCAGCACAATAAAGTAGGTCAAGTTTGGCAACAGCACTGGGACAAACGAATCTATAAACTGTATCATCATAGTCTGTCTGAGACAGAGGCAGGCCTGTAACCAGACGCTTACATGAAGATGGAGAGAAACATGACTTTAATCTTTGTAAGAAACACAGTATGAACTTGTCAGAGTTCCAATGTGACGACTGAAATTAAGATTTTTGTCCAACTGAATGCCCAGATATTTATAAGTATCAACAAACTCAAATCCTAGGAGAGGGAAGTAATTACTCCACTGTATCTTTATATAGCAAACAGTTGTTTGCTTTGATATCAATGCTCTGAATGCTTCTTTAGTGTTCATTTTCCTGAGGCTATGTCCAGTATGATAAATATTAGGGTTAACCTCTCAGACCATGTTCTTATGATCCTTTACATCATACGTGTAAGCCCATGGGTGAGAAACAACTAAACACTTTGTGGTGCAAATGTGAAAAAAAAACCCTTAAGGGATCACTGTCTGCAAAAACATCTTGGTCAAGCACATGGTTGGGCTGCGACAGCCTTCTCCTTGTCTAGGCCTCTCGGTCAAAACCCTCCTCCCCTGCCTCTAACACCCTCACTCCCCAAATGGTGCTTGTCTCAGGTTGTTCGATCATAAAACCAGTTTCAAACAACTTCCTTATCGCAGTTCATTTTACAACTTCCCAGGAAAAACAGTGCTCTGTCTCTGTAATTGACCTGGCGTAAACACAGGAGGCAACTATCTGGACTGTGCTTCCACTTGTCTTTATAATAAAGCAGGCAGTTGGTCCTCTTGGCATCGATATCAGGAAGAAAAACTGTCAAAAAGTCTGTGAGCCCTGGTCACAATGTGTGTGTGTGTGCAGATGTTAGATGTGGTGATATTCCACTGAAACCATCACTAGTCACATTTTCCAGAGAATTATACTGCAAAAACAAATTAATGAAGTAAAGATAAATCAATTAAAGTGAAATTCTGCTTCTGCTCTAGTTTGTTCAGCTTCCTTTCACCATCATGTGCTGAGAAAAACATAATCAGCCACGGGGCGATGAAGTTGGGTGTGAAAGAAGAAGGAGAAAAACCACAACGGCCCCACTGTCCTCTCACACATAATCCACTAGAGCAACAGGAAACACACGCACAGACCAAAAGATAAAAACACACAAAACACACACATAACCAAACCCATGCAAACGCTTAAATATGCAGAGCCAGCCCTGAGGCATAAAGCGAATTAAATGGTTACTCAGCCATTGGTAGGCTCTGAAAATGACTTGAAAGTGTTTCTCTGAAAAGTGTTTTCTTGTTCTGAATCAAGTATTTAAATTTTGCTACAGTGCAATAATCCATCATCTGGTCTGTGAGGCTGCTTTTTGAGATTATGACAAAGACGGAATGAGAAACCTGCCTACTAGAGATTTATAACCAAATAGGGCAAAGCAGCCACCTTGGGGACCCCAAAAGACCCCAGGTTTTTTTGGCAATTACTTTAACTAAAATTTGGTTGGTAATATGCACCAGTAAAGCACAATTAGACAATGACATGGTAGAGGCATGTTTGCCCAGAAGGCTCTCTGACAGGTTATTCGGGTGTGACCAAAGTGACCAAATAAAGAGAGTACAGGTGAGCAACAGTGAGCAGGATTTCCTGGATTTTAAGACTCTGTTTCATTTACATTCATTTACATTTCATATATTTGGGAGTTATAGCAATACATTTGTTTAGAGCTATTTAAAAACAAGGATTTGGAGGGGCTATAAAGGCAAAAACATTCGGGGAATAATGTTGGTCAAGAGTTGTCTGACTAGTTTGATCTTGATTAAAATCAGTCAGTGTTTGTGTTTTTATCTACCTATTTCTCAGTCTTTGAAAATCAAGTCTTTATTATTACCATAGACCAATGGTTTCCAACTGGTCAAGCTACGGTGTCCAGATTTCTCCTTAGTCATTAGTTCAAGGTCCACACAGTTTAATACACATACTTGTTGTTGGCCATGACATCAAGCTAGACTGCTGTCTCTGTTAAATAGTTGTCTGTTGGTCAGTCATTCACTCTACAGCAGGAAATGGCACTTTAAAATAAAAGCTCTGGGCTAAAGATTCACTGTACTTAAAAATAAAGTGTGTTTTTTACAACCTTGACATATTTGCAAGGCACTTGCAGTCCACTCAGAATGGACCTGCGACCCATTTTTGGACTGTGACCCTTCAGATGGGCCTCAAGCCTCAAGTTCAGCATTTTGACCACCGCCATCTTGGTATTTTGAAGCCAGAAGTAACTGTATTTGGATGAGACGCTGGATCTGCAGAGCAGTGAAGGGTCTGGGAGGACACTAACGGCAGACAGCCTGTCACGCAAAGCAGCCCATCCTTAATCATGCGCAACTTTAACCCTTAATAAAATGTAAACATGTGAGTTATCAAAAAATTACCCCCATACAGTTGTCATGAATGTTGAAACTATAGAGACCAAAACCTTTTTTTTTGTACCAGGCTGTAAACATGTTTGTTTCTACAGTTAAGTTGGGCAGTGTAACATCGGGGTTGATTGGGACTGACTGGCTTCTGGAGCCAGCCTCAAGTGGCCATTCAAGGAACTGCAGCTTTTGGCACTTTGGTATTGGCTTCATTTTTCAGCCTCTGAGGTTGCCACTGACACTCATAGGTGTATATTTAGAACATGAGTAAAAGCTTGAAAGTAGCAGAGGAGTTTTAATCTGACAAAATTAAAGACATTAACCCCATAAATTGATGCAGAAAAGCACAAACTGGTGCAGAAAAACCATCTGAATGGAAAAAATTAAGTGTTTGACACTCAAACTTATCTGGCAAAGCACACCCAAACCCCATTTCATATGTGCCCCCCCCCCCCCACCCCTAATACTGAAATAAAACCTAGGCCCTTGCTGATACCACACATTTAATATAATTGTTCTTGGGGGGTAAGTCCTGTTAAGGCTTGAAAATGCTTGTTCCTGCACACCACCACATTACCAGCGTTTAATTGACTCCTTGTGGAACATAAAGTTGATTAGATCTGGGAAAAGAGAGACCACTTTATGATCATGCTGATTAGAGCTGGGAAACGTGAGACTGTGAAGCGCATCACAAACTGATTGTGAATCGGTTTCTGTGGGGAAACTCCTGCCAAGTGAGAGAGCTGTCATCATCATCCTCACAGCTGACCAAGAGGAAGAAGTGTGAGAAGAGGCTGTCACCAGAATGATATTGAGATAAACATTTACAGTCATCTTATTGAAAAGACTGCTTTGTATTTGTATATCAGCCAGCACTTCCATTATTGGACAGTTTCTTGACATTATTTTTGTCTCGCAGTGACTGTGTAAGAAAGGTGAGGCTGGCTTGGGAAGATCCGCGTGTCTTTTTTTTCCCGGTAATAACCGACTCATCACCTTGGCCAGCGTCCAGCCAATGCGGGGCAGAAAGGAGTGGCAGGGATCCAGAGCAGGGAGGAGAGGCGCTGCACTGTGTCTTTAAGCTCCAGTAAAATCCATCAGGGGGAGTCGCAGCCTGCGGGAGCATTGTGTTTGTGCGCCCAGTACAGTGCAGGGACCTGCTCTGGGTTGGTGTGGATGGGATCCGGTGTTTTTCTTTGAGCTCAGGATGGTTATACCCGCACTTGAAACGCATGGAGTAGAGTAAAAAGGCTTCAAAACCCGCCTAATCATGAGATGCCACTGGGTTGTCTTTGCCTCACATCTTATTTTGCTGCCACTAACAGGTAGGAAAACCATTGAAACGTTGCTTAAATGTTGCTTTGGTGACTCATAGCGTGTCTGTGTTCTCGACAAGGACTTTATAGTGACCTTAAATTATCTTTTTACCTCACAAAATATATTTCAATGCAATAATACTCCAGGGGACATGAGTGTTTGCCTTTTGTGATGAGTTTATAGTGATCGCATTGTACTTTGTGCGTAAATATCACAAAATATAGACTATATTTCTATATTCTTTTACTTTAATGTATTATAAACTGTCTTTTCACATCACTTTAGTGTAATTCTGTCTCCAAATTATCGCAACTAGTTTTTTATTGGCACTATTTAAGGTCTTTTCGCCACTGATTACATTAATTCAGGTGTGGACAGCCAAAAAAAAAAGGTGCATGCATCATTACGCGTGCTTAGTGCGTCTTCTCTTACGATCCCGATGCTGAAGAGCGCATACTGTCTCCACATTGATATTGGAAACGTGGTTCACACACACACACACACACACACACACACCAACAACTGGCGTTTAACGGTGCAGTGTGATCAACCTGTCAGCTCATGTCTGCAGGTCACCTTATTTGCATACGTGTGTCGAGGTACGTGGGAGATGCCCATGGGCTGCCTCTATCGGCAGGCAACAGGTGTGTGTGTGTGTGTGTGTGTGTGTTTGGGGACGATTAATTATTTATCCCACCGAAATAAAAGGGATTAGGTTGTGCGCCTTTGCACGGCAGCAGAAGAAACAAAGAAAAACGCCAGAAACACACATCTTTCTAACACAAACACACCCAGCAGCACCTTGACATTTAACCGCTCTGACTGCTGTGATGATAGCTTTGTGTTTAGTCATGGAACAGCCTCAGGTTTAGTTGGAAACCTTTTGTTTACACAACCGCAGAGCACAAATTCTTACAGATATACCAGCCAGAAGACACATCCTGCAAAAGCACATTTATTTCTTTTTTCATTAAGAAGAGGAGCCCATTTGTATCCATGCTTGCCCTTCTTGCTTTCTTAGCCCTGAAGGCACAACAGTCACATGAAAATCCTGTTCTTGAAATGGCGCATATCATGTGAAAATCTGCAAAAAAAAAAACAAAAAAAAAAAACAGAAGGCAAAGTTGGAGGGGGTAGCTGGTGGGGGTTACACTGAGACGAAAATGTTTGTTTAGTTTACTCATCTTAAGGGAGTGGATTTAGGGGCCCTTAATGCATGATTACTCAGCGGGTAGACTGCTCATAAGTATTGATTGTTCAATTGAGCAATAGTGGTTTGATAGCACTTTGTCTTAAGGGGCTCCGTGCCAATCATAACATCCCATTTAACCATCACATTAGGCACATCTTTGGCTTTAGGAAATTGTGGTGGGAACGTTCTGGCGTTTTATAGGCTAGAAAATTAATGGATTAATCAACAAAATAATCTGAATACTAGTCAGAAATGAAAGCAATCTTTAGCTGCAGCCTTGCTACTCTGCTTTTTGCTCTTTTCATCGATTTCCATCTCTTCTTCTTCCAAGAGCTGGTGATTCATCAACGTCAGTATTACTGAAAGCAGCAGTTTATTTTCCTTTTTTTGCTGGATCTTTACCCAGCCTTCAAATGCAACATCCAGAGCCACCATACGTCAACCATACTATATATGCTCTGTTCCAGTTTGGTGCCAGCCTGTCATCTTACCCAGCGGGCCTCATATAGTCGTCCCCAAGAGGGGCAAGCTGGAGCTGCGTTGCCATGACAATGCCACGACATCTGGCGCCCCTTCCAGGTTGAGGTGGCAGAGGGAGAGGGGTCGCAGGCTGGAGGGAGAGGTGGAGGATGGGGGAGTGGTGTACGTCAAGGTGTCAGCGGCACAGGCCTACCACATGGGTCGTTACGTGTGTGTCAACAACAGCACACTAGAACACAGCTCCATCTATGTCTATGTGAAAGGTAGGTGTTTGAGGTGGTGGGAAACAGGCGTGTGATTACACATGTATGTTGTGCTAGTAACATATATCAATCTAAATCTCCCTTTCATCTCCTCAGACCCCCAGAATGCCTTCCAGCGCACCATGGTGAATGTCATCCTGGTGCGTGCAGGTGAGAACTGCACCATTCCCTGTCTTGTGACCGACCCCGAGGTCACCCTCCTGGCCTTGGAGACCTGCGATGGACAACCTTTGCCCTCTGGTATGAGTTACCGCAGCAACCTCCAGCGAGGCGTCATCATCAGCAATGTGAGAAAAGAATATGAGGGCTGTTTTGTATGTGTGGGACAGCTCGGTGGAGTCAAAGTCACCTCCAGCCAATACACTGTGGATGTACGACTTGGTAAGTTGAGAGAGATATGATGGGCAGTATACTTTGTTTCCAAAGACTATAATTCATGTTTGTAAAAGGGTTTCATACTGTGTTTAATGGTTCTCCATGATGCATAGCTTCACTAGATTTGTCATTTGGGTGATAATTAAGCTAAAAGGGTAAAATGACGGAGGAAGTAAATGCTGTATGTGCAGCTGCTGACAGGAAAGAAGTAAGGGGAGACTGCTGTCTTACAGAAAGTATTTTAGGGCAGATCTAAAAAGTCAGAATAAAGTCAACAGCTTATAAAAGGGATAAGCAAGTTATTCTTCTTGTACCCTTGTGGAATTGAGTCTAATGACTTGGACTCGAGTCAAACAAACGAGCAAATTTGATGACTTTAGACTCAACTTGAGTCTCAAAAGATTTGCAACTCAACTTAGACTTTAAGCGTAATATTACAAAATCTAATCCAAGACCAAAGTGTACCATGAATTTTAATTTATTTCTATTGAATTTATCAAATTAACTTCTCTTCATTTTGCAAATCCCCTAATGTTAGTGCTATTCATTCCCAGCAAGTAAACACTGAATCCCCCAGATCCACTTTGTTTGAACCAATCTGACAGCATCTGATCAAGTTGCAGGAGGAAGAACTAACTTTATGTTACTGAGCCACAAAAATTTGGCATACAAAAACTATGTGGTGGTCAACAAAAAAACAAAATGCAGTATGCAAAGCATGTGGGTCAAAAATTACAGACAGAGACGCAACAACTACCAGCTTTGCCTGACATTTGAAGTAGCACAAAGAGCTGTATGTCTAGGACAATATTAACAGTAAGCTAATGATTAGCTAACGTTAGCTTAACAGCCAAGTAACTTTTTCACAAACTTGTTTTAACAAATAAAAAGAAGTTCTAAAAAGCATTTATGATTTCTGTAAATTTAGTCCATTATTATTCTGTTGTTAAAATGACAGTACATTTGGTGAAGAGTGCATTATGACTTGATTATGACTCGAAACTCAAAGTTGAGGATTTGGGACTGCAAAGATTTAAGACTTGCTTGTGACTTGCAAGACAATGAGTTGGTGCCACCTCTGGTGCAAGTTAAAGCCAAAGCCAAAGCATTTGCCTTTGCTAATGCCTTGGGTAACCATAATGCAAATGTCCCAATACTTGTGTCAAAGCAAACAGTGAAGTAAACACAGTTGACACTGCCAACAACCTTACAGATGCTTGTTTAAGACAACAAAGCCAGGGCTGGGCAATGTGAAGAAAATTGATTAATAGAATATCCTCCTGTATTATCAGAAGACATATCATCATGTGAGTCAAGAAATGGAAAATAATATATTAAGTTAACCTTGTAATGGACATTGGACTTGTGATCGATAGATAAATGACATCCCTATAGGTAAACATGTTTAGTCATCATGGAATCATGTTTGGTTATTAAAGAAAGCATTGACAAAATTGAAATTGATCACCAAAGTCTGTAGGATTCATCCTCTGGGGACCAATAATGTAATGTAATTCATCCAATAGTTGTTGTGATATTTCAGTCTGGACCAAAGCTATGGCCCAACAGATCAGCAAAGCTGCTAGCATGGCTACAAATCATCGTAAGAGACCTTAATGCATCCTGGCAGAGATCAGTGTTCGTCACAACAATCCACACTGCAGATGTGTTTTGGCAAACGCGGTTTAGCTCATAGTTTTTTTATGAGCTATATTAATAGGAAATGTACAGTAAAAGCATTTTTAGGTGAATGTCAGTGGAAACTGATCATGTTTCTTTGTCCCTGCACTGCATCAGCATTTTCAGTCTGGTCTGCAGTGGAAAGAAGTCCAAACAGAGACAAGCAGGGAGGAGCCGGGGCGTAGTGTCCTTTTGACTGATGGAGAGAGGGAGTGAGAGAAGAGATGTGAGGGAGGGAGGAGCAGAGAGATTAGAGTTCCACACTGAACAAAGCTTTGTAACGGTGCATGAAGGCTGTGTTTGGGGTAAATAGAATTACCGCAGTCTTCGTCAAACAGAGGCTACTGGAGTGACGTCTGCAGGCGTTTCATATCGGAAATTAATCATCCGGTTTAAATACGCACAAATGTCTGCATATGCAAGTGTCTGCAAATACTGGACTTGTGTACATTGTCATTAGTGTGTGTTTGTCCACCAATGCATTTCCTGCCACTGAGCAAACAGGAGTCACACACCCTTAAGGGTCTTTTGTGATAGAATATAGATAGGATCACATCCGACTGGTAAATAACAACCAATAGTGAAATGAGGTAACTGATAAAATCAGTTATGACAATGTTGCTTTTCTTGATCCAGTGCCAAAGGTGCCTCCTGTGATCACACTCTCCCAGAAAGACACTGTTATCCTGAGGAAAGGCGAGCAGTTTGAGATTACCTGTAGCTCCGCCAACGTCAACCCGGACTTCAGTATCAAGTGGGATTTCCCTTCAGCAGTGGTGAGATTGATCAGAGGATTGACTGGCTTTTCCTCCGTCTCTATGTCTGGGTGTCTGACTGTCAGGATGGGAAATTTTCTGTTTCTATAAGGCTGACTGGCTTTCTTTAAAGGACATGTGTCCTTACCAATCCAGGAAACAGCAAGATCGCAAACTTAAGTCTGGAATTTGCATCGAGTACTTTGAAAAAGTTTCACTTTTGTGGCAGATTTTGGACCTTATGCACTGTGCCACAGGAAGTAGCATAAAAACAAAATTAGCAACAGATTGATGAATGTAGAACAGCTCTATATTCTTTTGTAGTGAAGAGTTTGACGGCATGTTTAGTAAGCTAACATTTGTAGAATGCCAGCTGTGTAACACATAGAGTGCATGCAGATAGGATAGGATCATACGCCTTTCAAGAAAATATTTCATGACACTGGCTGCACACTTGACAGGCAAAACCTCCTCACTTATTTGGTCTTGTTTTTGTCTTTGTGCTGCTACATGTGCATTTTCCAGAAGCCTGAATAGCAAAAAATACTCAAAATGAACCTTTCTGTGTTGAACACTAGAGGCGTCCTCTGTGTACTATACCAGGCTGATCTCATGCACAGTTTGTACGTTAATCGTAAAACTTAAATTAAAAGCCTCGTCCCAATTAAACGCCCAGTCCGTTTGACTAGCCCAGTGTGGCCACACATTTTGGAAAATAAAGGCCTGTCTCAATTAGATGCCTGGTCTGGTTGCCAAGCAAATCATATTTTTTTTTAAAGGAAGTTCTTAGGATGTATAAAACTGGGTTGTTGGCTACCTCATATTACGTATGTGTCCATTCCTCGATTACCCTGTAAGTTATTCAAATTAATGATTCATAATTGATATGTTATCTGAAACCTACTTTTTAAACAAGTTATATTTATACTGGTTTAAATAAACACTGTGAGTGTATTTCCTGATCTTTGCTGAACAACAGTCCCAAATATATTTTTTATTTTATTTTTATTTATTTGTTTATTTGAAGGGTCAGAGCATATTAATAGACATTTCTGTAAATATGCCAGATTTAGCCAAAGGCTATTTTTCATCTGTTGTCCCTGGCCAGGTGTTACAAAGGCTTCCTGAAATAAAACAAAGTAGAACTATGTTGAGGGAACAAACATCAGTCTTATCTTAAAGCACCGATCAATAAACTACAACTAATTAAAATTGATTAGTGTGTGAACAACAAGTAATAATGACATTGCTAAAATTAACATACAATTGACAGCAAGACAACATAAGACAGCCTTACAATTAATACAGAACACAAGGGACAAAACGAACTTCACAGCAAGCAAATAAACATGCACGCAAGAAAGCAGTTAAAAACATGTATGCAAGACAATACGTAGTTAAGACATAAGCAAGCCAACCCTCCACGCAGCATGCTGGTTAGACATCACTCAGAACCAGAGTGACTAGCCCAGAGTGCATACAAAACAACACTTCTGCACGAACAAAAAAGATATTGCACATTGGACAAGCCATACATAGAACAGGACATAGGGACATATAGGCCTCTTGATTTCAGTGATTTAAGGAAATAATAGCCTGAGCTATTATTAAAGTTTTACAGTACCTACACAAAGTAATGCATATCTATGTAACCCACGTAATCATAAGCCAGTAATTCATGTAGGTCGGGGTGGTCGATGGGCCACAGAACACAGTACTTTTCCCTCAGTAGACCAGTGTTTAGAACTGTGTGAAATCAAGTGAACTTGAGTGACGTTATATTAAGGTATGCCGTCACCATGTTGTTGTTTTTCTAAACCTAACCTACACCACTTTAAATTGACTGATAACTTACGAATTTATTCTCATACTAACCGTTGTAAAATTTTGTAAAATATCATACGCATCCTTGGAAGAGAATATGTAGACTATATGGAAATTCACAAAACAAAACTGTATAGAAATGAGGCAGTAGTAATATTTTTGGGAATTTGGGGGGTTTCATGACACAAAAAGCATTTAACTTTGTACAAACGTAGGCTTATCACACATGTTGGGTTTTGTAAGACTGATTCTGATACTTCTCACACTAAATATTTTAAAAAATCACAGTTTTCAGGCAAATGATAGTATACCAGACACATCATTTTAGGAAATATACTTTTCAGAAAATATAATTGAACAGTTAATTGAATACATAATATGTGAAAAATTGAGTTTTCTTTAAATATGCATGTGTTTGGTTGGTAGCCAGAGTATTTTTGAAATCTTGGCTACAGCCCTGGATTTTTTGAGTGTTAAGTCAGCTGTTTAATATTAAAAACACAACTGTGAGGAGAGTATACGCTCACTTGAAAAACTGAAGCATGACGTGTTGAAGACAGTGGATCTGTGAGACCTGCTGATAGTACACTGCTCACCTTTCCCCCTGATGCCCTGCAGCATCCTGACGAATCCCACACGTCACACATCCTGTCCGGTTCCCGCGGTTACCAGCGTGCCACCTCACTCTTGATCACAGCTGTCAACCAATCAGACTCCGGCACTTACCGCTGCCACGCCCACAACGAGAGAGGCACCAGTGCCACAGCGCTGCAGCTGGATGTCCGAGGTGAGCGTTCAAGATGGTTAATTTGTTTTAAATGCATGTATGGGTGCCTACTGCCTACAGGCAGTCAGTACAGCCACACACACACAACAGATCTCACCAACAATGTCTGGGCTCCTCTAAAACACCACCACCACCCCTTCTTCACAGTATTCACAGGAATTTTCACTGTTGGTCAGAACAGAAAAAAATAACAACACTCAACTAACACTTCACCACTGACACCAGTGTTCACACCCAAAACTACATTTTTTCAGAACTTATGATCTCTTATTTGCATAGTATGCAAATTAGTATTTAGACGCCTCAGGGAAAAAAATCATTATTCAAAGCACCTAATTATTATGAGGATGTCTGAAATTAGTCTAGACATGAATAAGGCAAGACACAAGAAAGGTGCAGCAAAAAAGTGTTCTGTAAAAACAGCAATGATTTGCCATATTAGCCCAAAGGATTTCTTCTAGTCATGCCTGTGTGATTGTTCTATTCACACAACTGAAAACTCAGATATTTAGAGTGATTACAAACTCTCTTCAACAGCAAGGAGTGAGCACTCTGTCCACAACGTGGTGGACTGTTTTCAGAAGTGTGAAAACACATGACATGATTTTGGCTCATTTGAGTGTTAACAAATAGACTTGTTACATACTGGCGAAGATCCTGGGTGGAGAAAGCACCCTCCAGCAAGACCCTTAACACCCAACCAGAGCCTCCAGGTGGATGACAGATCGGACTGTGGTTGAACTGGGTGACTTCAAAGTGTGAATGTGTGTAATTGCGTTTACAGTGTAAAGAGGGCACACCAACAAAAAACAAAAACAAAACAAAAAGCCTGGCTCCAGGTGATACTTCCCTGAATGAATAACAGTAAAACGTGTATCTTGGGTAATAACTTGTGATTTGCAGGCTTTTTTATGTCCTGTTTTTTTTTGGATTGTTTCGGTGTGAGTTACAGAGTGTTGGAGATATCAGCCGTAGGGATGTCTGCCTTCTCTCAATATAATGGAACTAGATGGCACTTGGCTTGTGGTGCTTAAAGTGACAAAAAATACATTTGAAAAACACAACAGCAATGTCTCTTTCCAGAAATCCTGACCTGGTTACTGTAATAATCCACAGACCTTGTTGTGAGCAGTTTCATGTCGGAACTATTTTCTTTCTACCAAACTACACCTGCCATCTTTATCACTGCGCAGAAGGAAGCGTGCGTCTACTGATAGCTCACCTAGCACCACTGAGCTAGCTAACGTTGCAGCTCAGCCAAGGAAAACACAACTAATGTTTAAATCTTGTACTGTCACGAACATGAGCCTTTCGTCCATGAGTAAGTGCACAGTGATACAGTTGCCGAGTGTATTTTGTTAGAAAGGAAATAGTTCCAACATGAAACTGCTCACAACACGGCCTGTGGATTATCTTGAGTAAGCTGGTCATGATTTCCAGAAAGATACATTGCTGTTGAGTTTTTCAAATGTATTTTTTGGTGTTCTAAGCACCACAAGCTGAGTGCCATTATCCTGGAGAGAAGGCAGACATCTCTATGGCCAATATCTCCAACTCTCTGCAACTCACACTAAAACAACCTAGATTTGTAAATAGAACCACAGGTAAGAGGAAAAATATGTATTTTTGATGTTAAAGTGAACTGACCCTTTAAATGTGTATATTTCTGATGTCCTCTAGATCAGGGATTCATCACCATGTTAGGAAGCCCAGGTCCAGTCCAGGCTGATGTTAAAGAGGGGGAGAGCCTGAGCCTCAAAGTAGAATTGGATGCCTATCCTGCACCCAGGTCCCTGTCCTGGTCTTACAACGGCAAACAGCTCCTCAACACCACAGAGCATGTTATCACCATCTATCGCCGCAAATACAGGTACAGTCAGTTTACAGTATTTATTCCACTCCAAGTGCACATTCATGTACAGGCACAGCATTAGAAACATGTGTTTGTTTTTTCAGGCTCCTCAGCGAGCTCAGACTAGTGAGGGTCCTCGGCTCAGAGGGTGGGATCTACAAGTTCTCAGCCCGTCATGAGGACGCGTCTGTCAATCATTCATTCCACGTGTACGTCAACAGTAAGTTTCTCCCACAGTTGTTACATTGCGCTAAAGTGCCTTAACATCTAAATGTTTTCTATTTTTAATATGTGTGTCTGTTTTCTATCAATCTGACCACTTTTTCTCTACAAGGTAAGCCGATTATCGTCGCACAGGAAGGCCCTGTTGATGGACAGGTGCGGTGCGTTGCCTCTGGTTACCCAGTCCCTAAAATAAGCTGGTACTTCTGTGAGCTGCCCCACACGAGGTAAGCCGAAAACATTTTGCTCTACTCTATTACAAGAGTGTTTATGTCACTTTATTAGGTTGTTTACATCTGAATAAAACTGATGCAGCTCCCGTATTATTATGAGCTAGATGTGAAGCTTTGACATCTTTAGTGTTTTATCTTGCTGTACCACCAGCAGCATTGTTTCCTTATTTTCTTTATTTACGGAGAAACAGTGTTTAATCACATGAGATGTAAAAAGGTGACCTAGCTACACAATAATAAAACGTAAAAGAAAACTAAAAAAACAACCACACACCACCAGCTGTAATAGTCAAAATACATTTTAAAAATTCCCATTGTTATAACTACTGGTTCTAGTATTACACTATACCGCAGCTCTGCATTTAGTTTGTCCAAGTGGTGTTATCGTACCCCAGCAGCCATTGCTCTTCTGCTGTGTGTAGGTACAATCAAAGTAAAACACTGTACTCTTTCTCTGATTCATTACTTTCAGATGTATTAAAAAGTGGAAAACTAGAATGTAATTTAAGTGTTATGTAGACTGTATCACTGTTGATTGTTATAGTTTTTGTCAATCGAAAAAGTCATAAAAAGGTCATAAAAAAGTCAGTGTGCACTTTTCCTGTGCGGTCCTCAATCATATGCTGGCTTGCAAAAATGGTACTCAGTCATCAAAACTTTGAGACTGTGAAGTGTCTAAAAATGTTCCCCACCAGACCTCCCTGGAGGGCTGGGTTACAGAAGGAGAAAGAAGAAGAAAATGGTCCTCCCCTTAATGTTAAATTGGTGATTACGGCCCTGCAATCTGGTGAATGTAGCAAAAGGAAATCAATGAGAAGAGTTGCGGAAAGTGATGATGTAATAATAAGCAGTTATTATGATAAACCACTGCATCACAAGGTTAATAAACATATATTTTGCCTGAGGTTTCATTTTCACATTCTTCCTATTTCACAGCCAGTTATGTTCAGTTTCACATCAATTTTGTAGTGTAAACAATAACACATAGAAATAAGGAATTATTTTTTTATGCATTTAAATTCACCTATCAATATGTAATTAAAAACTTGGGACTCCTTGGTTGTTGTGCTGCTCATATTAAATGCTGTAACTGAACAGCAGTGTGACTTTCAGACCATTTTACACACATTAATCTCCAACACCTTCTGTTGTTTTGTCTGGCAGTTCCTCTGAGAGCAGGAGAGGCTCATGGGAGCTGAACAAGTTGGTTTATGTCATCTCATAGTCTCATTAGCATTCAGACAATTAAGCCAGTTGGATTTTGACTGTTGGTCAATATAACAGAGGCATTTGAGGACATTTAGAGAAACTTTCTAGGCTACACAATGAATTGTTTTTTTGCTTAAATAAATAGTACAGAAACTGAGAATGGCCACAGTATAAAACTTACTCTGATGTAAAGCTAAGAGACGAAAATTTAACCTTAAACACCCTCCCAACCCTTCAACAGGTGCTCACTCCTGCCCAACGCCACCCAATGGGAGACTCCAGATGTCGCCATGGTGACAGAGTCCACCTTCGGTAGGAGTAAGGTGGTGAGCCGACTGAACGTGAGCAAGGAGCACGCACACTATCACACCCTGGAGTGTGTGGCGAGCACAGAGGGGGAAGAGGCCTACACGCTGTTCTCCATCAGTGGTATGACACACACAAGCATGTATATCACACCGGCCATTGACCCTGTGTCTGCGGAGGCCAGGTGTGTTGTTACTGGGTACAGATTGAATGAGATTAGTGTATGCTGACTATGCAGGCTGGGATTATATGGTGTAGACTCGTTAATCCTCGCCACACAAACAAACACCACTGCTGCAGCAGCTGTCTGTCTTAACATCGCAGGGGGAGGATGTGACTGTGTTTTTGAGTGTGTTGTGTTTACTTCAATGCCCCATGTAATTTCTCATTACTCTGGTGTGTACGTTTCCTCCCAGAGCGCACCGTCCCCCATAAACTCTTCACTCCTCTTCTAACTGGCATGGTGGTCACTGGTGTCTTCCTCAGTCTCGTTCTGGTGGTGCTGCTCTATAAATACATGCAGGTAAGATGGGAAATAAATCTTACATCACAATGCCATTAAAGCAATGACGAAACAGCATTTAATTTGGGAGTATGGTCATAAATCTCATAAATCTGTCCCATTCAAACCCAGTTTAAATATTGTCAGACTTCAATGTGAAATCAAGTTCATTCTCCATCATTGATATGCAGTTTGCATATCAGAAAAATAAATGGCTGCAATAGTTTCTGGCAAATGGCCCACTCTCATTTACTAATGACTCATGCTTCCATTTTGATTATGGCATGTTAAAGTTAGAAGCATCTGTCTGAGATCAGACTAGTTTTATGCTGCATTTGGTAACCATATTCAGCAGATAAGAGTGGAAGTTTGTCCTTTTAATCAATATGAATATGTCCTAATGAATTTGAAATGAATCAATCAGCCATTCAGAGTGTAGACACGCCGTACAGTAGTTAAAGGCGTTTTTGACACTCCGATCGAGCCATTACCGTGCCCCCCACAGCACACTGCTCTTATTGCACTCAGATGAGTCAGACTCCTTAAAAACGAGTCCATGAATGCACAGTGGGATCATCAGTCTCGACACCGGCTGACAACTAGAGTGCATGGAGTAATGTGAAACTGAATAGAGTCATGTTCTCTGTATAAATACCCACTTTCCTCTCCAAACTTCAACAGAAACCAAAGTTCCAAATCCAGTGGAAGGTTATTGAGAGTATCTATGGCAACAACTACATATACATCGACCCCACCCAGCTGCCGTATGACTCCAAGTGGGAGTTTCCTCGACAGAAACTTCGCTTTGGTATGACGGCTTCCATGTTTGTGTAGCTGTGTGCTGTGTGTTTGTGAGAAGTCATATCTAAAGGCATGAAGTGTGCTGGTTACTGTGTTCTGTTTAGAGTCCTGTACTATATAGACTATCCTAGAGTATTTTTAAATGTTCTTAAATGTTCTAAATCTTAAAGGGACAGTTCACCTCCAAATCAAAAACATATTTTCCCTCTTACCTGTAGTACTGTTTATCAATCTACATTGTTTTGGTGCAAGTTACCAAGAGATATCAGCCATGGGGATGTCTGTCTTCTTTCCGATATAATGGAACTAGATGGCACTCAGCTTGTGGTGCTCAAAGCACAAAAAAACCTTTGAAAAACTCAACAGCAATGTCTCTTTACAGAAGGCATGACCCAGTTGCTCAAGATAATCCACAGACCTTTTTGTGAGCAGTTTCATGTTGGAACTATTTCCTGTCAGCTTAACTACACCTGCCAACCATATTACCGCACAGAGGGAAGCTAGCTCATTGGTGCTAGGAAAGCTAGCAGTGGATGCACGCTTCCTTCTGCATGGTAATACATCTGGCGGGTGTAGTTTGGTAAAGAGAAAATAGTTCCTCCAACTGCTCACAGCAAGGTCTGTGGATTATCTTGAGTAAGCTGGTCATGATTTCTGGAAAGAGACATTGCTGTTGAGTGTTTTTTTTTTGGCTCTTGGAGCTACACAAGTCAAGTGCCATCTAGTTCTATTATACTGGAGAGAAGGCAGACATCTCTAATCTCTATGGCTGATATCTCCAACACTCAACACACAACTATTTTTGATTATGGGGTGAACTGTCCCTTTAAATTAATTGTACAATGCTCAAGGTTTCTGTGTGTCTGTGTGTTTCCACAGGTAAAACTCTGGGCTCTGGAGCTTTTGGAAAGGTAGTGAGGGCCACAGCATATGGACTCTGCTCTGCAGATACTGTTACAACTGTCGCTGTCAAGATGCTCAAACGTAAGCGTGTTTGCTGGTCTGTTTTTATCTCTCTCTCTCTCTCTACCCGTGGCTGTGTCCAAAACCTCTCATTCTTTATTGCCTACATCACTTTGTTTTTAACAATACACTGAACAAAAGACAAGAAATCTTCATCCCAGGTTCCCCCAGTGCTTCCTTGTTTTGTAAATGAAGCAGTACACATGTAGTTGCCATGGGGTCTTACTTAGCATTTAAGCTTTGCAAGCAGTAGAGAGTGATTTGTAAAAAAAAAAAAAAAGCCTTAGATTTTACCTCTGCTGCATGCACACCTCTCACAGCTGATAAAGTCTCCCAGCCTCTCTGCATTTTTTGGGGAAAAAATATAGCAACTGTTCTTATTTACAGATAATTCTCCTAAATGGACTCTAGAAGTGATCATCAATCAAAGATAATGCAGTAGAAGACAGGGCTCTTCGTAGTAAAGATAGAAATAATGGGTTAGTGCATTATTATGCAGCAATGTCTGTGGCTTTTTTTATTGGTATACCAACCATTTTAACGATAATCCATTAATTGCTAGATGGTACAGATGTGTGTTGGTCTGTTTTTATCTCTCTTCAGCGGCTGCGTGTGTATATTTTTCCAATGATTTTATATTTCATTGTGTTTTTTAGTGCTTTTATTCTTAAGGTTTGAGCCTTTAACTATTGCCTCGCCTTTCTGGCCAAGTCTGGCACATCATCAGAAATGTCACTGATATGCACTGTCCCTGTCAAATGAATAAAACGCAAATATAATACACTACATATTAAAAAGGGAGTGATTTCGGACGCAGTCTTCTTATGCTTTTTGCAGCAGCATGAGACGATGTCAGAGTTTATAAATGTCCTGATGATGTCATCCTAGCCAACGCTCATGCTACGGAGAAGGAGGCGCTGATGTCAGAGCTGAAGGTTCTCAGTTACCTTGGAAACCACGTGAACATTGTTAACCTGCTGGGGGCCTGCACTGTCGGAGGTGAGAGGAGCAGCTTCAGTTCACTCTTGGGAAATTATCATGTGAGAGGTTTGGGGCCATATGTGGTCTGGACGTTGTTGGTTGCAGACAGTATAACCCTCTTGCATTTGCAAGTTCATTATATATTTATTGACTGATTTTGTTTTATGGTAATAGATATTGTATTGAGAGCTTAATGTGCTGACTTGCTGCGATGCCCAGCCAATACTGACCTCATTACAAATCAGGTATTGGACAGTGTGAGCCGACTCCGATATGAAAACATGATGCAGTCTGACGTGTTGCAAATTTACAATGCTGTCGATCAATATTATCTACCAGCCCAGCCTTCAACATTGATTATAATGCAGCATTGAGATTGAGAGTCAACACAAGTATGCATGACTTTGTTATTAGTAAAGAAACACTTTGGCATGAAAAATCCTAATTTAAAGATATTGACACAAGTTGTTCAATATGTGACCACACAAAAATATTGATAGCAGCTTTTAAACACATGTTCAATCCTGTCTGAATGCATAACACATGTCCTGCCTCAAATCAGTCCGCCGAAACAAATTACCACAGTATCAACCTGACAACATCTTCCTTTGGCTCATTATTATCAGAGCTTTGGCTTTCTGTGTCTCTTTTCATTGTGATGTGCTGTCATATGGTTTGAAAAAGCAGTGAGTGAGGTTTCTTTTCATCTCTGCATCCTGCCAGGCCCAATTTTGGTGATCACAGAGTACTGTTGCTATGGCGACCTCCTCAACTTCCTGCGCAGAAAAAGAGAGTCCTTCTTAAACTCCCAAGTTGGTGATGGTTACTATCGCAACGTCTCGAACCCAACGGAGCCTGCAACAAGGTGTGTGCAGTGTGTGTGTTTATTCAAATTCTGATTGCATTTGCAAAACGGTTACCTTGTCAACATTTAGTGCTTATGTGTGTTTTGTGTGTGTTTGTGTGTGTGTGTGTGTGTGTGTGACCATGCAGCAGAGAGGTGACTGGGTCAGGATATATGCCCATGCGACCCTCTGAGAAGGAAAGGCCTTCCCAGTCAGGTAGAAAGTCTCTCACTCTTCATTTCCCATCATACATATCAACAACATACCGAGTGCCTCGCCTTCTGTACGAGTCTGACAGTCCAGTCTTTATCTAGATGATATAGAGGAGCTGTCTCTGGATGCCGAAGATCTCCTCAGCTTTTCCTACCAAGTGGCCAAAGGAATGGAGTACATTACATCCAAGAATGTAAGGCTTTTACAGACTGTGCGCTTATTTATAGAGTCGTTACCAAAGAGATTTAAAAGTGCTTCTGCAAGTTTGTAAATCATGCCATGGCTCGGGGCCAACATGCTGTGCATTGTTGTCAGCTAACACTGCACATACAATCAGAAATAAACATGGTAAAGCTGCCTTAACATGAGATCATGTGCTACACACACTGATCTTAAAAGCTCCAACTCAGATAGGTTAAAGTTTGAAATAAAAGCATCTTGTTTTCTGACTAAGTACTGCTTTTTGTTGCTTTTATTAAATTAGGCACTATTTACTTATCATTGTCTGGACTGTAATTGCCCAGAAACGGTACAAAAACTATTGCTTTTTTTGTATTTTAATTTGCCAAACATATGGTTTTAATGCATGTACTGTATGTATTATGCAAATTCCTGTCAATTTGCTTTTTGTGTTCATGAGGTTTGCAACAAGTTTAACATGCCCTGCCTCATTTGTACATGTGTACTGTGTGTCATTCACTGCAGAAACCGGTTACAATGTCAATACTTATCTGTGTGTGTGTGTGTGTGTGTGTGTGTGTGTTTAGTGTATCCACAGGGATCTTGCAGCCAGAAACATTCTGCTGACTCATGGCAGGGTGGCGAAGATCTGCGACTTTGGCTTGGCACGTGACATCACCACTGACGCCAGCTATGTGCTCCGGGGCAATGTGAGTCGTCTGTCATTTTCTCTCGCTGACCCTTCCTTCCTTCCTTTCCAGTAGCCTGTTCTGTCCAGCCAACACTTCAGAATCTAAAGACAAAAAGCAAATCCTCAGAATTTAGTGCCTGGTATTTAAGTAACAAATGCAGTGCCGTTCTAAACATGCCCATATGGAATGGGCCGGTTGTTGGCCTGTGGTACTGCTGCTGACAGCTTTCTTGAGAACTTAAGATGTTAAGAAATCAAAAATATTGAATTGTGTTGCTAACTGTTATAATTCATTGTACCCAGAAATAATGCAAAAAAAAGGCCCCAAAAGTACTGAAAATATGCAACTCAACAGTAAACTAATTACTTACAATGTACTTCTACTTTAGAGGAAAACAGTGTATTAGCCTACTACCATAACCTGACAGATACATGTAACTGGTTACGTTGTAGATTTTACTCACAAATTCTAACAATTAAAACATGATGTATAATTAGTCATTAAATTAAATTTAAGTACATTGTACAAATAATGCCCTGTCTTTCTCTCTTCACTCTCAAAACACTCTCAAGTCGCAACTACTCGTGGTCAGAAACACAGTGGATTAAGTGGATGTATTTATTACCAAACAGGTGTATTAGTGGGTTAATGTGACATAACCACCACAATTATAAAGTAGAGCGTGGATTAAATTAGCAGGTGTTTTTGCCAATGTAAATGTCATTAGTTTTATAAGTCAATATGGCAAAGAAAAACATGGGGCGATCTGTAGCCCACCTGGTAGAGTGTGTGCCCCATTTAGGCTGAGTCCTCAGCAGCGGCCTAGGTTTGGTTCCAATCTGAGGCCCTTTGCTGCATGTCACCCCCTCCCCCCTTTCTTCCACCTTTCCTGTTTATTTTTATCCTATTAATAATGGCAAAAATCACCCAAAAATCATCTTAACAAAACAAAACAAAAAAAAACCTAAGTTGCCGTTACTTGTGGTCAGAAACATCAGTGAAATACAGTTAATCAATTGTGCCGCATTCAACAATACAAGTCTCTGGGTCCTCAGTGATACACCCTCCAAGTGTGAAGTAGATCAGATGAACGGTTCTTGAGATATGTGACAGACAGACAGACAGACAGGCAGACAGACAGACAGACAGACAGAGATCCCTTGCTTGCAAAGATGTTAATGTAACATTTGGCACCCAAAAAACTACAGTGTATAATTAATCTATCGCAAAAATAGCTGCCATTTATTTTTCTGTCGACCCCCCTATCAGTGAATTGACTGTTTCAGCTCCAGAGGAATTTATTTAAGTAACGCTGTACATGAAACAAAGAAATAAACAGAAAACACACCTGCTCACTGTCTCAGCTTTACCCTTTAACATCCCATAATGAAGATTTGTAACATTTCAGGTAAAAGATACTGAATGTTTTTAAGAATAAAAACAAAGGAGCTCTTGTAAGCACGTCTCTCTCTTCTCCTGCAGGCTCGCCTGCCAGTCAAGTGGATGTCTCCCGAGAGCATTTTCGACTGTGTCTACACCTTTGAGAGTGACGTGTGGTCCTACGGCATCCTGCTATGGGAAATCTTCTCTCTGGGTAACATTTCCAGTTAGAGCTGTGCTGCTGCATCTGCGTCTGAGCCATTACTATAGTCCACTTATGTTGACTGGGGCCTTATTAGAGGCTCTGATGATGCTCACAAGCAGCAGCATAACCTAGAGGGATGAATCATACATAATCATACTGATTGTGATACATAATGTGGCTCCACAAAACAGCATGGTCATATGAATCTGCACAAAAATGCTACATGAATGACACAAGGTTATTCAAAGTGTGTGGATGGTGTCTGTGTTGCAGGTAACAGCCCGTATCCTGGGATGCAGGTGGGCTCAGTATTTTATAGGATGATTCAAGATGGCCACAGGATGAGCAGGCCCGAGTACGCTCCCATTGAGATGTAAGTGTGTGTCTGTACTACGTTATGACAAGTGCTTCAAAGTAATGATTATTTTTTATTATCTGCTCATTATCTTTTGAATAAATTGTTTTCGTACTCGTCGTCCTCCGCTTATCCGGGTCCGGGTCGCGGGGGCAGCAGCCTCAGCAAAGAAGCCCAGACAGTCCTCTCCCCAGCCACTTCCGTCAGCTCTTCCGCAGGAACCCCGAGGTGTTCCCAGGCCAGCCGGGTGATGTAGTCCCTCCAGCATGTTCTGGGGCGGCCCGAGGTCTCCTCCCAGGGGAGGCGTCCGGAAGGCATCCTTACCAGATGCCCGAACCACCTCAACTGGCTCCTCTTGATGTGGAGGAGCAGCGGCTCTACTCCGAGTCCCTCCCGGATGTGTGAGCTCCTCACCCTATCCCTAAGGCTGAGCCCAGCCACCCTGCGGAGGAAACTCATTTCTGCTGCTTGTTCTCGCGATCTCATTCTTTCGGTCACTACCCAGAGCTCTTGACTATAGGTGAGGGTTGGAACGTAGATCGACCGGTAAATTGAGAGCTTCGCTCTCTGGCTAAGCTCCCTCTTCACCACAACGGACTGGTTAAGCGCCTGCATCACTGCTGATGCCGCCCCAATCTGCCTGTCAATCTCCCGCTCCATCCTACCCTCACTCGTGAACAAGATCCCGAGATACTTAAACTCCTCCACCTGAGGAAGGACCTCCCCCCTGACCTGGAGTGGGCAATCCACCCTTTTCCGGCTGAGGACCATGGCCTCAGACTTGGAGGTGCTGATTCTCATCCCAGCCGCTTCACACTCGGCTGCGAACCACCCCAGCGAGAGCTGGAGGTCACTGTTCGATGGAGCTAGGAGGACCACGTCATCCGCAAAAAGCAGGGACGAGATCCTCCCGTCACCGAACCTGACACCCTCCACCACTCGGCTGCGCCTAGAAATTCTGTCCATAAAAGTTATGAACAGAACCGGTGACAAAGGGCAGCCCTGGCGGAGTCCAACCCTCACCGGGAACAGGTCCGACTTACTGCCAGCCACGCGAACCAGACTCATGCTCCTTCGGTACAGGGACTGGATGGCCCTTAGCAAGGGGCCACCAACCCCATACTCCCGGAGCACCCCCCACAGGATGCCCCTGGGGACACGGTCGTAAGCCTTCTCCAAATCCACAAAACACATGTGGACTGGTTGGGCAAACTCCCATGCCCCCTCCAGCACCCTGGCGAGGGTAAAGAGCTGGTCCACGGTTCCACGTCCGGGACGAAAACCACATTGCTCCTCCTCAATCTGAGGTTCAACTATCGACCGGACCCTCTTCTCCAGCACCCTGGAGTAGACCTTACCGGGTAGGCTGAGGAGTGTGATCCCCCTGTAGTTGGAACACACCCTCTGGTCCCCTTTCTTGAAAATGGGGACCACCACCCCGGTCTGCCACTCCAGAGGCACTGCCCCCGATGTCCACGCAATGTTGCAGAGGCGTGTCAGCCAGGACAGCCCTACAACATCCAGAGCCTTGAGATATCCAGGACGAATCTCATCCACCCCCGGGGCTCCGCCGCCTCGGAGTTGTTTCACTACCTCAGCAACTTCTGCCCCAGAAATTGGACGACCCGCCCCCGAGACCCCCGTCTCTGTTTCCTCACTGGAATACGTGTTGGTGGGATTGAGGAGCTCCTCAAAGTATTCCTTCCACCGCCCGACAATGTCCCCAGTTGACGTCAGCAGCTCCCCGCCCCCACTGTAAACAGTGTGAGCAAGTTGCCGCCTTCCCCCCCTGAGGCGCCGGACGGTTTGCCAGAACCTCTTTGGAGCCGATCGATAATCTTCCTCCATGGCCTCACCGAACTCCTCCCACGCCCGAGTTTTTGCCTCAACGACTGCCGCCGCTGCGCTCCGCTTGGCCCGCCGGTACCCGTCAGCTGCTTCCGGAGACCCACAGACCAACCATGCCCTGTAGGCCTCCTTCTTCAGCCTGACGGCTCCCCTCACCTCTGGTGTCCACCAGCGGGTTCGGGGATTACCGCCGCGACTGGCCCCAGCGGCCTTGCGGCCACAGCTCGCAACTGCCGCCTCGACAATGGCAGAGCGGAACAAGGCCCATTCGGACTCAATGTCCCCCTCTGCCCTCGGGACGCGGTCGAAGCTCTCCCGGAGGTGGGAGTTGAAGATCATCTGGACAGGTTCTTCCGCCAGGCGTTCCCAGCAGACCCTCACTGTTCGTTTGGGCCTGCCAGGTCTGCGCGGCGTCTTCCCCCACCATCTGATCCAACTCACCACCAGGTGGTGATCAGTTGACAGCTCTGCTCCTCTCTTCACCCGAGTGTCCAGAACATATGGCCGCAGGTCAAATGATACGACTACAAAGTCGATCATTGACCTGCGACCTAGGCTGTCCTGGTGCCACGTGCACCGATGGACATCCTTATGTTTGAACATGGTGTTAGTTATGGCCAAACTGCGACCCGCACAGAAGTCCAATAACTGAACACCACTCGGGTTCAGATCGGGCAGGCCGTTCCTCCCAATCACGCCCCTCCAGGTCCCGCTGTCATTGCCCACGTGAGCGTTGAAGTCCCCCAGCAGAACAATGGAGTCCCCGGTCGGGGCACTGTCCAGCACCCGTCCCAGGGACTCCAAAAAGGGTGGGTACTCTGAACTGTTGTTCGGTGCATAAGCACAGACAACAGTCAGGACCCGTTCCCCGACCCGAAGGCGCAGGGAAGCAACCCTTTCGTCTACCGGGGTAAACCCCAACGTACAGGCAGAGAGTCTGGGGGCTATCAGAAAGCCCACCCCGGCCCTCCGCCTCTCACCCGGAGCAACTCCAGCGAAGGAGAGAGTCCAACCCCTCTCAAGGACTAGGGTTCCAGAGCCGGAACTATGTGTCGAGGTGAGGCCGACTATATCTAGCCGGTAGCGCTCAACCTCTTCCACAAGCTCCGGCTCCTTCCCCGCCAGAGAGGTGACATTCCATGTCCCAAGAGCCAACTTCTGTAACCGAGGATCGGACCGCCAAGGCCCCCGCCTTGGTCTGCTGCCCAATCCACATTGCACCGAACCCTTCTGGATCCCTCTGCGGGTGGTGGGCCTGCAGGGGGACGAGCCCATGTAGCCGGTTCGGGCTGGGCCCGGCCGGACCCCATGGGCGAAGGCCCGACCACCAGGCGCTCGCCCACGGGCCCCAACCCCAGGCCTGGCTCCAGGGCAGGGCCCCGGTAACCCTCCGGGCCGGGTACACGTGTCCTTGTTTGTATCCATCATGAAGGGTCTTTTGAACCGTTCTTCGTCTGACCCTTCGCCCAGAACCAATCTGCCATGGGAAACCCTACCAGGGGCAAAATGCCCCCGACACCACAGCTCCTAGGGTCATTAGGGCACTCAAACTCCTCCACCACGATAAGGTGATGGTTCTCGGAGGAGAATAAATTGTTTTGTCTGTCACATTTTTTTTTTCAGTTTTCCAGAGTGCAATGAGACATCATCAAATTTCTACTGCTGTTCAACAGTCCAAAATCCAAAAATATTCAGTGTACAGGGACATAAAAATCAGACAAAAGCAGCAAATTCTTACATTGGGAAAGCTGAATCCAGGGAACATTTGGTATTTTTGCTCAAAAAAATTAAATGACTAGTTAATAATTAAAGTGGTTGGCCATTAATTTTCTGGCAGTCCAACTGATCAATGAATTGACCACCTGTTTTAGCTCTAATTAAAACCTGCCCATTTTATTATGATAATAAAATACGGCATCATCTGGATAAATAAATTCACACTTCTCTGAAAATATAATCTCTGTTTTAAATTCCTGGATTATTTTTTTTATTATCTTTCACATTGAAACTAATCTCAGTCTCACCTCTGTAGGTATGACATGATGTTGTCTTGTTGGAACCACGATCCTTTGAAACGGCCTTCCTTCAGGAAACTGGTAGAGAGGACTGAGCTGCTGCTGTCTGAAAATACCAGGAATGTGAGTATCATCTCTCCCAACATCTCAGCTATTGTCAATACCTAATAAAAGGGAAAAAAAAGAAAAGAAAAAGTACAATTGTAGAAAGTCTCATTGAATTTATGCATTATTGCAAGCAGCATCCTGTGGAACTAAAAAAAAATGAAGCCAACGTGGAAGTGCCAAAAACAGCAGTTTCTTGAATGGCCACATGAGGCTGGCTCCAAAAGTGAGTCAATCTTCATAGACCCCTATGTTTAAATGCCCACCTTTACAGCAGAAATAAACAGAAACTACAGACTGCTACAAAAAACAGTTTTGGTCTCTATATCCAATTTCCTCGTTCCTCGAACTGTATGGGTTTCATTTTTATATAACGCACCTGTTTGTGAAGGCTTAAAGTTACACATACTGTAATTCAGGGCATGGCCGCTTTGATTGACAAGTGGGTGCCGTCTGTTGGCAAGACGCTACCATGGCAACAACGTTGGTCAGTTAATATAACCGTGGTGCAACCGCAGATTCTAACTGACAGAGTATAACTGTCACTATTACAGTGTGTTTTCAGTTAATGAAAGTTAATTGTAAGGTTTTGGTTGTCTAAAAAAAAGTTTTTGTTCAGCATTTGGTTGTATTTAAAGACAAATATTCAGTATTTATGATGGGTAAATTTTGTTTTACGGTTTAAAACTTGTTTACTACTGGTGAATATTATCATTAGCATTTTCAGTAAATGTAATATAGCTGTAAATGCACTGTGCTAACCAAGCTAACAGCTAGCATTGGGGTTCGCTCCCCTTTCATCCAAATATGGTCACTTATGGCTCTAAATATCTAAGATGGCAACGGCCAAAATGCCAGACTTGAGGCTTCAAAACGAGAGCCCACAAACCAGTGGGTGACGTGACAGTGGCTACATCCATTACTTTATACAGTCTATGACTAACTGTGCATATGACATTGTGATTTGGCCTGTTACATTTCCCAGTATACTGACAGACTGTTTCTTTGTGAAAAATTACTCATATAAAAACTTCCATAAACCACAAATATGTGTTGTTCCACAGGTGTACCTGACACTGAGCAATGCTCCAAGTCATCCAGAGCAGCAGAGGGCGCCATCGCGGAGACTGAGCTCAGTCTGCAGCACGACAGCCCCCACCCAGCCTTTACTGCAAAACACGGCTGACGTCTTCCTGGACTATGTCTGACACACACACTCCCACACAAACAGACACAAACACACACACACACACACACACATGCACACTGCTATAAAACACACAACCCCCTACCTCCCTGATCATTCTTTCCTTTTACTGCACAAACTACAAGAGCCAAATACACTCTAAACTACTAACAATACATTCACTCTTACTAACTTTCAAATGCTGGCCTTTCTACACACACAGACACACACACACACACACACACACACAAACAAATACTCTGTATATAAACGACCCTGCACTGGGCTCTCAGTATTGGCCTCTATCTAATCTCCCCAATGGCGTATTGATCTCTGTGGTAGGTATTTCAGGTGCATGTCTATATAAAGCAGACTCCAGCACTAACCGCCCATCAGATAGAACATCCCCCATCAGCAGCGGGAGGAGTTTGGCTCACGTTCAGCCTTAGATACATCTTAAAATGCTTTGGGGAAAACAGAGACCTTTGACTGAGGAATAGATAAGCACAGTTGGTGCTGTGATGAGTGGAATGTTTTTTGTTGTGTCAGATTTGTCTCCCATTTTCTAAGCATATTTTGCCATTTTGACACAAATAAATATGGTTTACTTACAGAGAATTTGATGAGAAGATTGATGCCAGCCTAATATTTGCACACTTGATACCTTTTGTTTGTCAGGCACTTCAACCAGCCACAATCAGTCCTCAGTCCCCAACACTTTTCGTTTTTACGCCCAAGCTGCCATGGAAGTGCTGGTAGGCAGATTATGTTACCTTAGCCAGGCTAGCTGTTTCCCTCAGTTTCCAATATTTATGCTAAGCTAAGCTAACTGGCTGCTGGCTGTGGCTTCATATTAAACAGACATGTGGTATCATTCTTCTCATCTAATTCTTGGCAAGGAAGCAAAAAGCAAATTTCCCAAAATATTTCAAGTAATTCACTGCAAGAGTCACGACAGTAAAAAAAAATATTGAGAGGTTGTCATCGAGCCTACCTTAAAACTAGTTTTTAAAAGGCTTGAAAAAAGATACTGTCCCTTAAAAGACCAGAAGCCTTTTTCATTGTAACACATGAGCCATAACAAAGTGGCACGCACCCGATAACTGTTGATGAAACATAAAGCTGAAAGTTACAGAAACACTGATTTCCACCTGTGCGTTGTAGCTTTGAATACTGTGACTTGTAAAAGACTAACTGGTGTATTATTGTACGTACTTTAGGGTTAGCTTTAGTTTAGTCTGTGGCCGGACGTTTAAAATTGATTGTGTGCTCTTTTTACTTGATTTATGTCAAACATGTATGCAATGTAAATACAATAGAGATGTGCCTTTAGATTTGTTTTTGTTAAATTACTGAATGCATTTGATTGTGACATACAGTAGTTATTGTTGAGAGGGCAGCCAGAAGAGAGCTTCTGTATGCTGGTTTTGAGACTCATGCAGTTTTGATACAGTGGGTTGACTTGTAATAATAAAGAAAGTACCTGTGATGGTAAAAAGTGCTGGAAAGTGTCCATTTAATTTATTTGTCGTTTTCTCAATTCTGTAAAACATGAGTAAGCAGCTCTGTGAGGATGTTCACTGTGGTGCTTTGAGCTAAATGCTAAAATAAGCATGCTTATATGTTCACCAAGACTCAAGCAACAGTGCTGGACTTTAAAGACAATTTTACACCATTAAATCATTTTTATCCCTATTCAAGGTAGCGAAGGGCTTAACTAGAAGTTAGCCACTCATCCACTGTAAGTGGCCTATGGGCTCTGTGATGCAGAAGATCCAGATCCAGGTAATTTTCAGCCCCCCAGGCATGCCACCCAGCCTTGCTTCCATTTTTTCTCCCAGCAGCCCAAAAAGCATTTTTCCCATAGACCACCATTATAATAGAGACATCTGTAAAACTGTTTACAGGACACTTTGAACTGCAAACAAGATCAATTACGAATCTTTTTATTACAAATTTTTGATCCATGGAGGCTTAATATTTGTAAAACTTGACCAGAGAAAAGCAATTTAAAAATCTGTGATGTCATCACAATGCAGTCTCCGAGCTGAGCAGGAAGTCACTGGCTGGGCCAGCAGGAGAAACAGGACACATATTCAGTGGGCTACATACCCCAGAATTAAACCCAGAAGCTAGAAACTGTTTTTGGTGAGTGTTTTTGAAGGGCGAACAATTCCATTGGACTGAATGGGTGCCATCTTGGGGTCCAGTATCAAGCTTTTTTAACTTCATGCAGCACTGAGCAACTTTCACAGGGCTGAACAGGGCTGTGTCCATGATGCTCACAGAGACAATGCTAACATGTCGATTTTTTAGCAGGTATAATCTTAGTCACGTTATTAACCACGTTTATTATCGTAGTTTAGCATGTTAACATTTGATAATTAGCACTTAACACTACAGCTGAGGCTGGAGGGAATGTTATTAGTTCCGCAGATATTTGGATGGTACGAATCACATCTTGACCTGTTGATGTTGCTTAATGAGGGAACACCAAAGTTATTACAATTATATTGAGGAGGATGTGCATGTCTACACAAAACTTACCAGCAAGTCATCCAATAGTTGTGGAGATGTTTCACTCAAACCACAAATGTCATCCTTATGGCAGCACTGTAGGAAAAGACAGGGGATCACCAAAGGTCATCAGTGTTATTCTTCTTCTGGGAACCATGAATGTCTGGACAAAATGTCATGACAATCCATCTAGTAGCTGTCAGGACCTTTAACTAAACAACAAGGATGTCACCTACATGATGGTGCTGGAGGAAAAGATGGTCGTCAGGGTTTTAACATCTGGGGGCCATGAATATCTGCACAATAGTTATGTGCAATCCATCAAACAGTTGTTTAAATATTACAGTCTGGACTAAAGTGGTGGACAGAGCATTCCTGGAGCTACACTGCTAGTGTGGCTACTAACAGACGAAAACAATAAAACTGCAGCAGACATTTGTCACATATAATATTTGCAACTGTTTTATTTTCAAATTGACCAAGAGGGGAGAAGGGGTTATAATAATAGCAAACATTTTGCTTCAAAATATTGATTATTATGACATTTGACTTTGGGGTAGATAAAAGGAGCACAGTTCAAGAGCAGAAGAAGGGATATACATACATACATACCATACAGGTAAGCATAGCACCATTTTACACTGAATACTGGTGTTCTTCGCTTTGTGTATGTGTACAGTTTTATACTAGAACTAGGACTCTTTAGAACCAGATTGTGTAGTGGAAAGGTGATCTGTGGATCTGTGTGGAGAGGAGGGGGGGGGGGGGGGGGGGGGGGGGGGGGGGGGGGGGGGGGGGGGGGGGGGGGGGGGGGGGGGGGGGGGGGGGCGCCTCGCTGTATTGTCTATGGTGTCCCATTTCAAATATCCTACACCTTAACTTTCATCACCTTTTAAACTCATTTTCCAACCAAAAAAATATTGTTGCAATAAAACAGAAACATAAAGTTTGCAATGGTGAAACATTCAGGAGGTTCTTTTACAATGCAAAGCCTGTAAATAAGATTGCATTTCTGATTCTATATGTTGTAGTGAGAAACACGACCCCTCATTTTCCTTCATCACAAAGCCTGTCAAAGGTTCTCCATAATCAACAGTTACAACATCCATTTGTCTCTTTATAACACCTTTACATTCTTTGGGCTGGGTATCAGTGACACAAACTATAAACATCTCAACATTACCCTTTAGAGTGATGCCTTGAACACAAACTAGTCTATAGAAGATCTATATTTGTTATGTGATGGGTGGAAGACCTGGTTCAAATAGTAAGACGCTCTCTGTAAAGCCTCTTGTTTGTGGACAAAGTGACAGAGACAGTTAATCCCCACTTAGTCGCACAAATTAGCAATCTAAATTAAAAACATACCTGGGACGGTTATCATTTGAGCCCGGTCTGATGTGTAGTTGTTGTGATAAGTGTTTGTTGAGCAGTCTGTCATTGTAAAACAATAACGCACTGCCCGTCTTCTTTATAGCCTGACAGGTGACCAATGCTCTGCATTGCCTAACATCCATTCTTTTCCAGTCACACATCTGTTTCCATATGAAAATATAATGGGTTACAGTGACGGGTAACATGCATACAAACTCTCTCATTCTCACACAAACATGTATTCAAGCTGAGCTGTCCCACACACACGGGCTTGCATAATACTGAGCCCAACCGGAGAGGAAGTTTCTTGAATATTACAATTATTTCTTTATACTGCAACGCAAGAACTGATTGGCTATCGCCAGGGGAAACCAATGCTGACCCCCAAGTGATACAAGAAGTAGGATCAATAAGAGGAGATGCTATATTCTCACACACACACACACACACACACACACACACACACACACACAGTCTTAACTACACTCTGGGACAAAACAACACATTCTAAATGCTCCTTTGCCGACCATTACACTTCCTCCAGTCCAAGGCTTTTCTGTTTTGATATGGCTTACAACTGTAGTAGAGAGGCTGAGCCCATTTCCATCACTATTTGAAATGGACTTGGGCTAAGCCCTGGTTTTAACTGCTGTTTGAGAACTGAGAGACGAGTGAACTGAACTGCATGAGGGTTTCTGAGGCCTAGGAAGAGATAGAAGGATGAAACACTGACGATACAGAAGACCACGAGACAGTCAGTAGAAATGCAGGTTCGTTGGTACAATGAAGTCCAATCTGGGTGAATAACCTAAATGATTTTTCTATATTCATACACCATATCTTATCCTCCCCCCTTTACAAAATGAGAGCATCTTTTTAGTGTCTTTGGAGACTTCTCCTTTCATACTATTTTGATGAGGAAATAACAAGGAAGGCTCTTAAAGATGTGGGTCAAATATGATTCAGTCACCACACCCTTCACACTGACACTCTGGTCTTTGCAGCATCACTGTCTTATCCTTCCCGGTCTGGTTCCAGACTGAGGCAGAAGCGAAAAACTTTCCACATTCCTGAGAATACAAGTACCATCCAACAACTTCAAACCCTTACTAAGTCAATTATTGTAAGACACGAGGGGCAACAAGCACACAAACACACACACCAACCACGGACACTCTCATGCCCACTCATGCACACAAAGATTGTATCCCCAAAAACACACACTAGCTCACAGAATCACACCACAGATTACAAACAACTAGGTCTCGACAGTGATTTACTGTACACAACCACATCAAGTGCTAAAGTTTCAGGAGGTTGAGGATATACTGTTTGTTACTTATAGGGCTCTCTGACTGTTAAAAAATAATCCCTACTATATACACACGCATTAACTTTGTTAGGGGTAATATCTTGTTGGAAAATATATATACGCCTTTGAATAGTTTGCTTGAAATAAAAAACAAACATAACTGACTATGTTCTTGGCACTTGGAATCACTAAACCCGTTATACGTACAGTGATCATTCTGCAAAGAATTCATTTAAACTGTGATCTAGTTTCTTGCCAAACATAATTTGTACTTACAAAGTTAAAAAGAGCCGTTTTTGTCTCAGAGACACAGTGTTTAAAAACACAACTTCCACAAAAAAACCCCAAGCCCAACCTAACTGACAGTACTTTAAAGCCTTATTCTGAACTTTTTTTAGAGAAAGAGAGAGAGAAGGGGGGGAGAGAAGACTGAGAGAGCATGTCACTGCTCCATCTTTGACCAGAAAACACTTGAACAAAAGTAAAAATTCATTTTTCAAAAGCGACTAATAAAAGCTTACACAGTTATTCTTTCCATGCAATCATATAAAATACTACATTTCTGTTTCCTGTTAGGCTATACTGGATATTTACAAGTTGTTGTTTTTTTTTATCATACAGTAAATCTGTACACTGTCAGTCCACTTTGACACATCTTCAAAAAAATGTCTGTCGTCACCGTGGGGATAAGGTGTTTTTGTCGGGTTTCCACGGAGACTGGAGCTTACTCACAAGTCTGCCTCTGGTGAGGAAAAGGGGGATTTTAATCCATCCTGTTGCCATAGTGACAATCCTTGGTGAGTTCCTCGTGGACTCACGGGCTTTCCTCTTTCCTATGATTCGTTTCTTTCGGATGGAGGAAGGGAGGGCAGCAATTTTTGGGGAAAAGGAAGTTTGTGACAGCCACACGACCAAAGCAAATGTATGCAGCAATCCCTTTAGAGTTTCAGTTCCCCAGGTTTTCTAAGTTTACAAAGACTTTACTGTGGTTGGCTGCTGACGCTGTCAGTCCTGTGCGACAACGGGGCTTTCTGCTGTTTCTGGGGTTGTGGTTTCAGCTGCTGCTGGTGCCTCTGGTGATGAGATTGCTGTTGCTGCTGTTGTTGCTGCTGTTGCCGTTGCTGCTGCTGCTGTTGTTGCTGCGGTTGCTGTTGGTGCGTTGCCTGGGTGAAGGTACCCTGTTGTTGGAGTGGGAAAGCTGCCTGCAGAATCAGCTGGGTAGACTGGTTACTATGGAGAAGACGAGTGCCCTGAAGGAAAAACAGTGCAAGAACATTAAAAAATGAAGCAGTTCTTTAATGTCAATAAAAAGCCTCTTTCTCTTCTCACACACTGTGCAAGTAAAATAATTAGGTCATGCAAAACAGTAGTTATATTATCTGATTCTCTCCAGGATAAAGACAACAACACTTTTCACCAAAATAAAACACGTGAACAACTTCATATTTTGTCAAGATGTCTATTTAAATAAACGATATTTGCTGCCCTCTACTGATACCTGTAGGAACTGCTGTTGTTGCTGCTGCCCCTGCTGGCCACTCTGTGCCACTACAGTGGTCTGGTTTTGGCCATCTGGCTGACCTTGAGGCGCTTGGGCTGGTTGCAGAGTGAGAGTCTGGGTTTGCCCTCCCTGCTGAATAGACACAGGAGTTAACACAGAACAACAAAGGCTTGTAGTCGTATGAGTTAAACATATAAGAAATCCAGTTTTGTTTGTTTTTCAGGCCCTTTACTGATTCAAGACGTACATTAGGTTTTATCAGCATCACCTCTACAACTCCTTGAGATTGCTCACAATGGGTTCTCTATTCTTTTCAAGATATTTCTGGATGAATGGAAAGGGAAGGGGTCTATTGTATTAACTGATGTTACAACAGTACTGCACACGCTTTATTGACAAAAAAATCTGCTTGCACCGATTGATCAGCTGAACATCGGAATCAGCAAATATTCGCCTTGTTGACTGTCATCGGTGAATAAAAGGACATTCACCGATGGCTGTGGCCGATGTTTTTACATTGCGTGACAACAATTTTGCGCAGGCTAAAAATTAGTGTGCCAGAATGCGTCCCGGGAACAACAGACACTGTGTTTGTGACAAACCTCATAATGTCTTTGGGGTGAATGTTGAAATCAGCAGGAAGAAAGCTCATTAACGTTAGCTGTTAGCAGCCGGTGGTTGGAACTTACAGCAGCCATAGGTTGCGTGGAGTTACATTATGATGCATTCAAGCTCTTCAGTAAAAGTACAGTATTAAGTGAAGATAAATGTTAGTGTTATTATGATGCATTTAAATTTAATCCTGTAAAATGTAGTTTTGAGGAAAAAACTTGAATAAATACAGTTGTTTTTGGTTTTCATGTGAAACATAGTTATCCTAAACGTTTCTTGAATTTACTGGCATTCAAAGATAGAAAATTTCTTTGTTTCCCTGCCACAAAAGGGGGAATAAATGACGACAGCTATCAGCCAAATTGTTATTTTAAACATAAGTATCATTATTGATGCATCACCAATTCTAGACTCACAAGTCAGTCTTTAGACGCTTTGCTTAACTAAAGACTGATGTCTTTCTCCCTGATTTTGTGTTTAGATGGGCGGATACAATTTCAGAGTTTAAAAAAAACTCCCTACGTTGCAGAACCAATAGTAAATCCGCAGGGCGGTCCTTTGGTGGCTCGCTGAACTCTAGTGCTTGTAAACATAGTCCGACTGCGTTAAAAGTTTTAAACAAAGTCGCTGTAAGTCCTTCATTTCCACAAACATGTGGACTGAGCACACGTTTGATAAAACAGAGTTAAATCTCTCGGCATCCATTTTCAAGCTCTCTGTGTGTTTGTTTCCTTGCGGACGAGAAAAGGGGGAGCACGCATTTCCGGGAGGGCGTGTCCTTTTAAAAAATACAAGAGGCGTTGCTTTGTTGCCGGCCGTTTTCTCCGGTGTGTTAAACACACTTTAGAAAGGTGTGTCCACAGACTATCAGAAGGCGGAGATCTCTGATTGTCTGGTGGCGAGACTACACCAAATCTGACTTGTCAGATGATCAACTTCAAATATGAAAAAAAAAAAATAAATAAATTATTTTAAAGAGATGGGGTTCATGGTTATCTCTTTGTGGACTACTTTCAGGCCTAGACTTTAAAAAATATTATTGATTTCTTTATGTAGACTCAGTCATTACCTTCTTTTCATTCCCAAACAACAGCATCAACTACAAAACCCTTTTTATGAATTAATTTATACAGGGAAGATATGCTGAGCAAATAATCCAATTTTGCCCACCGAGGTCATGGTTTTAATCCCACTGTATTTAACACCTTCACACTATGATCACACTCTGTCAGCACTAAGCAGCTGGGTGGTAATGTGCCTCACACATGGCCACTTGGACTTTTTTTGTCTCAGATAGTTTCATTAGTTGCTCTATGACTCAGACGGCGTTGTCCTTACCTGCTGCCCACCGAAGGGGTTG